GCTGCTTGAGTGATTTGCAGTTTGCATGCACCTGCCCTGGGAACCCATGTGGGAGCAGCCGTGAAGCATCAGGATGCCCCTTCCGCAGCATTGACTTCCTTGTGCTGTTCTGTGTGTACAGAGGTCTCCCCCTGGGGTGTTCTATCAAATGCAGCAGTGTCTGAGGCCCACTCTACATGTTACATCTATTACGCAATTATCTGGTTAATTGTGCAATTAATTTAGACTGGCTACATGTGCAAATTAACTGTGGTGCCTTAAAAATGGCCAGCTAGCTATAAAGTTATTGCTGTAAAATGTGTAATAACTTTATAGATGGTTTCTATAGCTGCATTAATTTGCACATGTAGCCTGTGCCTGTAGCTGGGAGACCTCAGCTACTGTAATGTCCCAGCTATGGGGGGACCCATGCACTGCTGGGACTACAAGTTCCATCAGCTGTGGGACTTGTGGTCCCAGCAGCTGTGGGGTGCAGCCGGGGCTGAGAGTCTTGTCAGCTGCGGGTCTTGGAGCTGTGGAAGCTTGCTATTTGCCAGTGCAGGGGGAGCCTGGAATGCTGTTCTGGCAGTAAGGCACGACAGGATCTGATGCTGGATCCCACGGTGATGCCTCCAATCATATGTATGTGGCATGGCAGGAGGCACATTATGTGGATCGCATGTTAGAGCCCATTGTGCCTTTACCTGCATGTGTGGGGTGGCCCTGATTCCAGTGCATCACCTTAGAGCATGTCTTTATGCATGGGTATGATTTCTGTCTGTCTTTGGATGCCCAGGTTAGAGATGAAGATTATCAAGAGTTCGGGTGGGATACCACGGCTGTCCTACACTGGCCGGGACGACAGGCACTTTGTACCCACAGGACTCTACATTGTTAGGACTGTGAATGGTAGGAAGAGCCCTGCTGCCCTCTTTCTTCACTGCTTTTGGGGGAAGGAAGGAATTTTATTCTTTAAAAATATGGGGCCAAGCTGTACTCTGCCCTTACCTCCAGGGAAGTCAGTGGTGTTACCAAAGGACTGAGTATGACCTGTGTCTGGCTTTGATTGGGTTGGAGCAGGTAGTGTTGGGATGAAGATGGCAGCCACTGTGGTTGGATTACCTGCCACATGGGAATTTTTGTTTAGGTGTATAGTGACTGCTTCTTGAGATCAGATTGCCTAATTGGAAAGGTTCTCTCCAGAGGAAATAGCTGGGCCTGGGCTGGGCATGTGGAGCCATGGGGTGTGCGTCCTCAGTTGAGAACAGTTTGGATACAAAAGAGCCTTTTGGAAGGGGAAGATGGAGGATCTCCAGTTTAGTTTCCCAGACCACCCGCACTTTGATATACTACTTTTGTCATCCTGATGTCTGTCTGATCCCCATGGCTTTTTCCCCAAGATCCTTGGACAATGGCGTATAGCAAGAACTCCAAGAGAAAATTTTTCTTTAACAAGATGACCAAGGACTCCACATATGACCTCCCTCCTGAATCCATTGCACCATTTCAGTAAGTACCAGTTCAGCAGCCTGTACAGCTGAGCCCCAGAAGGGTGCCACAACCCAGTCCCATGCTTTGCCCTTTTTATCAGGCTGTTGCCCTGCATGTGTCTGACAAATATCAGGCTTCACATCATAGAGGTAGTGGGAAGCTGTATATTTGTCCTGACAAGCAGTGCTCCTTCACAGACTGCTCCTGGAATCCTGTGGGGGGACTTGTAATGAGTCTGTGGCTTGTACTTAGGTTCCTTATCTATCCATAGACTAATCTCTTTGGCCACAAGGGACAGAAGGAGCAATGGCTTCAAGCTACAACAGTGGAAGTTTAGGTTGGAGATCAGGAAGAACAGACTATGAGGGTGGTCAAGCATTGCAACAGAGGTTGCAAAATTTTCATCCTTGGGCATTTTTAAGACCATGTTAGACACTTGGCTGGGGTGGTTGAGTCAGGGAGGATCCTGCCTTGAGCAGGGGGTTGGACTTAGGTGACCTCTTGAGGGCCCTTCTTGCTTCGCTTTTCTACGATTCTGTGATATCCCAAGGAGGTTTTATTCACCCTAAGTATATGATGTTACACTTTCTACCATTGGTAAATGTCCTACTCTACCAGGTTATCTAAAGCAACAGTGTCAAACTCACCTGGGTCCCCAGCTAGATCTGGATAATGAGGCTCCTTACAGCCCAGATCCAGCCTGGGACACAGGGGTGACTGCTGTGGCCCCCATAACAGCAGATCCAGAGGCATCAAAGGTTCCGATGGCAGCAGTTCCAGAAGTGGCAGGGGGTCCCAAAACCTGGGTCCAGCAAGGTCTGGGGACACAACTGGGGTCTGGGGCCAGCTGCAGTAGCAGGTCCAGTGGGGCCAAGGGACCCTGCATTCTGTGGCAGGCCACACCCCCTAACTTCTCATATCCCACTGGTGGGCCAGACAGAGAGGCTTCGCAGGCTGTTTGATACTCCCGATTTAAATCTTCCCATAAAATAATCTGGTTCTCTTCCATACCAGTAGTACTACAAAACGTAGTGTCATCTGCAGATTTTATGCGGACACAGCAAATTCCTGTACCAAAGTCTCTAATAAAATTGTTAAATGGGATAGGTTCTAAGATTGATCCCTAAGGAACATTGCTAGGAACTGCTCTCCAGTCAGATGACTTGGCTTTCATCAGTGCCCACTCTAGTCTCCCTTTGAGCCACCTTTTTATCCACCTTGCAGTTGTGGTATTGATCCCCATCCTCTCTGGTTTGGTCCGTAATTTTCCATGAGGCATGGTATCAAATCAGCTTAAATCTAGATAAATTTAGTCCACTGAATAACTCTTGTCCAAGAAGTCATTTATCTTGTCATAGGAGGATATTGCATTATGTTGAATCACAGAATCTTAGAAAAGCAGGACCTGGAAGGGACCTCCAGAAGTTATCTAGTCCAACCCCCTCCCGGAGGCAGGATCACTCCTATCCAAACCATCCTATACAAATGCGTTCCTAATTGCTTTTAGTCCCATTTTCTTCTTACCCCTATATATTTGATTATTATTTCCTTTGATATGTGTTCTAAAACCTTACATAAGTTCTCATGGGGATTGGTGTGTAGTGATGCACTGTCCGGGCTGAGAGGCAGAAGGGCCCCAGGATCATGTCCCTTCTGCAGAGGTTGTTGTGAAAGGAGGCTCGTGTTCACTCACCTTTCCCCTCCTTCCTAGTGTGCAGCAACACTCTGAGACTACCTGGAGTTTTCCCTGGCTAGATCCCTAAAAAAGCTGTCACAAATTCCTTGCCCCTTCTCACAAATCAGGAAGGAGGCTGGTTCACACATGCCTCCCTCCCAGCACACTTCCAGCACCAAGCTAAGCTGTGGAGACGGGAGAGACTCCATAATGGATGTGTTGTATTGTCATTAGTGAACGCTAATGTGTCTGTAATTAGCCATTGACACATGCTCTTGTCGCTATGCTAATACCGCTCTGTTAGAACAGTGCAGCTAAATAAGCTATGAATATTAAATGTCAGTAATTGTATGAATGTAAGGCTGCTGTGTCTGCAGCAATTAACGGCTCTGGTTTCATTCACAGTGGTCGAGTTGTATCCAGGTGGAGAGGGATGAATCTGTATTTCTGGTTGAGGAAGAAGGTGTAATTCTGGCTGACTGACAGAGCTGAGAGAGGCCCCATGTCCCTAGGACTCGCTGCTTGACCCTCCTCCCTAACCAGAGCTGTTAAATGGGGACCATGTAACTGACATCCTTTGTCAAAAACTTTGGCCTCTCCCTATGGAAAAAGCAGAAGGGTATTGTACCCGGAGTGATCAGTGATCACTCCTTGCAGACCCTCAGCTGCTGGTCAGCCCTTCCAAGCACTCCATAACAGCCTTTCCATAGGCTTCAGTGGTGTTACCATGATTGTTTTACCTCTTAGAAACTTGAAGAAAAAAGAATGCCCTTAAGCGATTGTGCTTCCCTTTCAGCAGACTCACGTTTGTCCCTTGTGGTGGTTTGAATGGAATTAGAAAGGCTGGTTTCATGAAATGGACTGTAGTTCAGAATCTCTCTCTCTGCCCTCCCTAGAGGTCCTAGGAGCTAAAAAAGTAACCACATAAATTGGGTCTCAGAGGTACCCCCACAAATCATATCATGTGTTCCCCACTCCCTAACCATCTGCATTTGAAGAGAATCTCTAGGTCCTGTCTACAGTGAGTTCTTTCCCAAGGTCCTGATCTCATTCTCTCTGCCCACAGCATCTGCCATTACAGCCGTCTCTTCTGGGAGTGGGGGGAAGGTGTCAAAGTGCATGACTCGCAGAAGAGGCAAGACGCAGAGAAGCTGTCGAAGGAAGATGTCCTGTCCTTCATCCAGGCACACTGCCCCTGACCCCCCCTACCCCAGAGCCCAGCCCAGCTTGGACTCTTCAGGGACTGACTAGACTGGACAGACTCTGAGACAGGAGGAGGGAGTCTTCAATCCAGGAGCAGTGGGTCTTCCATGGAGAAGAGAACTGACTTGCTGGCAGTCCCAGGAGTTGGGGATTTGGGAATTCAGAAGATGCAGAACAAGGCTTCAGCTATGAGACCAGTGTATATAGGTGTCTGGCCCAGGCAGCACCAGTTCTGAATACCCTAGAGGAAGAGCTGAGTTCAGCTGCTCTTCTCTTCTGACCCATTGCATGCATGAGGCTGAGGTGCATGAAGCTCTCCCCATTCCTGCGCAGACTTACAGCCAGGCTTGTGGCCCTGTGTATGCCAGAGCAATTTGGAGACTGCATCTGGCTCTCTAGCAGCACAGACGAAATGGCAGGATTATGCCAGGGCTGCAGGAGAGGTGTGATCCAGAGAGAGAGGTGACATAGAAATAGCCCTGCAGTGCTCCCAGCAACCATCTCTGTCTCCTTTGGCCTGGCAGGCCTACGCCACACACTGGGGTGTCTCATCGGGGAATACTGGCTCTTGGGACGTGAGGGCTGTCTCCTGTCAGTGGCTATAGCAGTTCAATTTTGGAGGTGCTGGGCCAGTTGCCAGGGGTGTCTCTGTGATAGGTGGGGGGAGCTCCATGGCACAAATGGCTTTGGTGTGTTCGGTGCCAGCTGTGGCACTGAGACGGCGTGAGTTAAACTGATTCTGCAGGGGGAACTTCCTCGTACCATCAGAAGCTGTCACCCCAAAGAATTCCCTCTAGATCAGTAAGTAACCACAGCCTAACCTTCCAGGTGCAAGCTCATGAAAAATGCCACAAGACCCTGCTGAGATGAAGGTGGTTTTGTTGTTTGTTGGTGCTCAGAGTCATTGCCTGGGGCTCCTGGCAAAGCGAATGAGGGAAGAATGGGGTTTTTCAAAGGAAATTCAGGACATGCCTGGCTTGGTAAAAAGGTCCCAGAGCATTGAGAGAATTTGATTTTGCCTGGAGTGGATAGTCAAGAGAGCTCCTATTGCC